TTGAGAAAATAAAGTTTTATAGTTACATATCAAGATTACATTGTGTTGTGTCAATAATATTGCATGCATTAAGAAAACATACAGTTTGTACATATATTGATTTTTTTTTTTTTTTTTTTAAAAAAAAAGGTTTAATTTTACTAAACTGGACAAAAATTACATTTATAGTTACATAGATACAAATATACATATATATATGAAAGTAAAAAGATTACTAAATAAACACGTCATTCCACCTGGGAACAAGAAAATCTGAAAAACTATACACATTATGGATTTCCATATATATATATTTATATATATATATAATCTGACGAAATCAAATAAGTACAATAATAAACTTTAAATTTCATGTGAAAAATTGGACTATCAAAGATAATTATAGAACATTGTCTTTTGGTGGTTTAACTAATTTATCGAAGGATGATGGTCTCGGATGACCATACTGTGTTTCATGCAAGCCACATTTGTTACCTTAAATAATAATGAAGAAAACCATACGTGAGCGAAGAAGTCAGAACGAAAAAAAAAAAATCGACCGAATAAATACTAAAGTACTTACACAAAGTACCATTTTTCCTCCAACAAGATGATTCATTAACACCGCAATTCTTACAAATGCGCTGTTTCTTCGGTCGTTTATATTTAAGAGTACCACATTTGATTTGATCAGTTGGTCTATTCTTACCATGGGTCTTAAAACTACAAACAAAAAGTAAATAAATAAATAAAATAAATTATAATTCAGAAATTGAAATTAAAAAGTTTAATACATACTATAATCCACAAGCATTGCAAAGAAGTTTTCCAAGATCATCTCTTCTCCATGCGGGTGATTTAGTGGTATTACAATTTACGCAATGATTTCTAGCCGATATGTGAGGATTAGATAAAATTTCAATGATTTGAGGGTGATAATCTACAGATGCAGCCATTCTCTCTTCAGCTTCCCATTGCTTCATAAGGCTAAGTAGATGATGCGAAAAGTATAGACATGTCAATTATAGAAGACATAGAAAACATATAGAGAGATGTAAAAAATATAGAGTGTATAAAAGAGATATATATAAAATATATATTGAAGGTAGCAAAACATGGCGCGTTTTTTTTTTTTTTTTGCATAATAGTATACAATAAGTCAATATTTCGACGTACGATAAAGCTTTATCTATCGGAATCAAACCAGCATTTACAAAATCTTCAACGGTTAAATCAAGCATCCAATCTTCAAATATAATTTCTTTACCGTCACTTAACGGTATTCTTGTTGGAGGAACAGTTGTAACGGACGTGAATGACAAATTAGTATATTCGTAATCAATGCTCATAGTGGCGTTCATGTTATTAAATAATGCCCGATCAATTTGTTTTTTTGAAAATTTTTTTTTAAAAATATGTTATTTTTGTTTTGATCTGTTTTTTTTTTGACGAAAGGAACGTTTTTGTTCGAAAGTGATACAAAAACTCTATGGTTCTTATATATATATCGGTCTTTTTCCTATAGAAACCTTATTATTATTTCAATAAAAGTTTACAGTGACAGATATTTTTTAAATCTAAGAAATTTCAGCGAATAACATTAAAATCCTTTAAATAAGAACAAAGATAGTGGAACTAAATATGGTAAAGCTTTCTTAAGATAGGAGTCATGAAGAATTTAAACATAGAGGACATATAAAATGCTAGCCAATTTTGAGAATTTTATTACAAATATTTCTTTTTGTTTGTTTTCCGAAACAAAAATAATTTGCGAAAAACTTTTCCCACAAATTTTATTCGCACTACTATTTTGATTAACAAAAAGTATCAGTATCACGTGTAGCATATATAAAAATAAGCGGTTCTCGGGACGAAAATTGCCACGAGAACAATACATTAAAAACGGCCTTTCTTACAAGAGAAAATAATGGAACGGAATGTCGTGAACAATGATTCATTGCTGCACACTAACTTAGGAGCTGCGACTATGTTTTGACAGTCTTTGGGATTGATCACCGCAAAAAGATGACAACAGAAAATAAAACTGATTTGTGGACACATCTGGTATGGTAGACGTACCTTGGATAGATTTGATGTTTTGACAAGATTAATAAGATATCTTTAAAGATTTCTACAAACTCTGAAACGGTTAAGTGAAAATACTATTTTCTATGTCTCTTTGAAAAAAGGAATAATAATTTTTTGAGGCGTTAAGTTTTTATAATTACGCAGAGATAATGACTAATGCACGTTTATTAAGGAGGAGGCTACAAGTGCGTTGCGCTAAACCGAAACTTTTTGAATCATCATAATAAAATAACCGACAAGAAAAATTTTTTTCTTTGCTTACATCAACTACCATCATCGACTACTGGATCTTTGAAAAAGTGTTCGATACGCGACATATTTTATATAAAAAAGTACGCGTTTCTCAAATTTATAATCATTGATTACACTATTATCATCATTGTTATTATTATTCAACACACTTTAACATTTAAATAATTTAATAATTAGTTGTTTTAATAAATAGTTTAATATTTTAACTCAACAATTTAATGTTTTTAATATACTTTTTAATACTTTAATAATTGATCATGTAATTAAACGTCAAATGACCTCATTAAAGTTGCGCACGTTTATGAGCTTATTTCTTGCCCCTTATACGTACTTGTAAAAAAATATATACAGTATACAGGTATATATAGATATATACCGGTATAGATCAACCAACTTTGTAAATGAATACATCTCTAAAAAGATCAAGTAATAAAAAATATTTTAAAGGAGCTTTGTAATGCAGCAAGTTAGAATGTGAGTCGTAATTTAGAACAAATGATCAATAAAATTGATATGTAATTACGTAAAGTTGCAGTATATGTATATAATGCTGTAATGTATCGAAAATATTGATATTTTTATACAATATTTATATATACAATATTACAATACTGCAATACGTATTATCATTTATCATTAATTATCATTAATAATAAAATACAATATGATATATATACATATATATACAATACTTTGTTACACGATTGTATAATTTGTAACTAAAGGATCTGAAACCTGCTTTGTTTTTAGTGTGAATTTATTCCTTCTATGGTTATAATTTATAGTTATAATTATCATAGACATAATTTCGGTAACTAATATCGTAAAAATTCAATAATTCTGCATAATTATAAATTATTTCATACGAGTTATACGAGTTATATAACTGTTATTCTATAGTAATAGTTACGAGTCGTGCTAAGAAAAATGTAAACATGAAACAAAATATTTTTTATCATGCTAAATGCTAACTCCGTTTATAATTCTGCTTATAATCCTGTTTGTCATATGGTATGACAAATAGTACCTGGTAAAAGATAAAACAATAGCGATAGCTTGTTAGGTATGCATCTCTCCTTTTAAAGTATAACTGTAAAACAATCGTGACAATGCATGAGTGGATAAATATCACGTTTTCATCGTAAAACTAACCCATTTGTACTGAATTTATAAAATGTACTTAACGTACTAGTCCTAGTAAGTATCGTCCGAAACTCCAAACGTCGGAGCTTCAAGTTGATCAATAAACAAATATAAAATTTTTTGTTTGAAATATTTCCTTAATTATTTTTTTTTTTATTTTTTTTTTTCACTTGATTAGGAGTTTTTTCATGCCAAAAAAACCCTGCATGTAGTTTCAAAAAAAGGAAAACAAAGCTGGTTTTTATAATTTGCTTAACCCGTACGTACGTACGTAAACTTACTCTTTGTATTCACTTACTTCTTTCTTCTCTTTCTTTCCTGCTAATAAAATAATCGTGTGTGTTACAACTCGACTTGTTGTTGTAAAACCATCGATTTTTATTTATTTATTATTTTTTTTTAAATAATTAACGTAATAATAACGAGCGTTTAAAAATATATATATTTATATATATTTTTTCCATAATAATTATTAATTATTAATATTAAAAACCACACTACTTTTAATATGGACGAAGTCGTATATGCAATTCATCCATTTGAAGCGGAGAGTGAAGATGAGGTTTCATTTGAATTCGGTCAACCGATAATCGTTTTAGAAAAAGATGAATTATATGGTGATGGTTGGTGGAAGGTGATTTCTCTATCTTTTTTGGTCTTTAAACGAATTCATTTATTTTAATTACATTGTTGATTATTATTTATTGAAAGAAATAATAAAATAATAATTTTACTCTTGATGAATTCGTTTTCTTTTTTCTCGATTTCCATTTTATTTTTAACATTATCAATATCATTTCATTATCTTTATTATCATTATCATTATCATTATCATTCTGCAGGGAAAAAATATTCACGGAAGAATTGGACTTTTTCCAATGAATCATACTAGTTATAGTAAACCTGTTCCAAGGAAACCAGAGACTACTACTAATAGTTTTTATAATCAAATGGTTGCTACTCCTAATGAGACGTCGAATTCAAATAATTTGGAATTGAATATTCCTTCACCCCTTTTTAGAATGCCAACTCCTTCTATCGAAGAGACTATTGATGATATACAAAATAAATTACGAAAAATGAGTGTAAAACCAAATGAAAAACAATTAAATCAAGATCTTCCTGAATCACAACAATATCAATGGTCTCCAAAACAAAGTCGTCGTAGTAAATTATTTTTATCTTCTTCATCTTCAAGATCTGTTAGTAGCGTTAGTTCTTCGTCTCATAGGCAATCTACCGAAAGTACAAAACTACCTCCTCTGAGACAACCCATTCAAACAAAGGATCATCCAACAACTTGGGATGTAAGACAAGTTTGTCGGTGGTTAGATGAAGTTGGTTTTGGTTCTGAAATAAATAATTTTATCGGTAAGATATCTTTGTTAATTATGAACTGTTAGTTAACTGTTAATGATTAACTCTTAATTATTAATCGTTATGAATTGTCAATTGTTAATTAACCGTTAATTATTAATTGTTAATTGACCGTTAATGGCTAATGATTAATTGTTAACTACAGTATTAATTATGAATCAATCGTCAATTGTTAATTATGATTTGTTAATTGTTAATTTTATATTCTTTATAAAGATAATGATATAACTGGTGATGTTCTTCTCGAGCTTCATTTATCCACGTTAAAGGAATTAAATGTAGTTTCCTTCGGAAAGCGTGTGCATATAATGAATGCTATAAATGCGCTTAAAGCAAAATATTCTATTGGTGTTGGTCCTGATGATGACATATCTGATATAGAAGAGGTTGGTAAAAATTTTTTTCATATACATTATATGCATTTATATTTTCTTATCTTTATTCTACTATTTTAATTACCTTTTTTTAGCAATCCGATTCTGTTCAACTTTATGCACCAACTCCAGTTTATCATTTTCAATCCAAATATAACAGTAGTAGTAGCCCTACATTAGGTAGATTTACTGCTAATCAAGAATTTAGGAAATTTCCCGGCCTTCCAGAATCGCCCAGAAACTCTGCTGGCAATCATCATGTTCATCCTAATCTTTACGCTCAATTAAAACGTATTGATGACGTAAATGTTACAAATAGTGAAGTAAATATATTATTTATAAAAATTTTCTAACCTATTTATAATATGATTTTGTATTATGTGTTAAGATTTTTAAAAATTTGTAATTGCATCATTTATTACCAATAGACTATTGACCCTAAACCTAAAAAAAGTAGAATTTTATCAAAGTGGAATTCTTTAAGAAAACCCAAAGAAAAAAGATCTTCTGAAATTGGATATGATATCAATTTGGTAATATATTTAACTTAATGTAGGTTGTGAATTGTAACTAGTTATGTATTTAATGTAATTATAATTGTTTAATTTATATTTTGTAGAATAATGAAAAAAAAAGTCAAGAGGAGGATAATTTAATTAGGAGCCAATTTGTTAATGGTAATATTCGATCAAATTCTCCAAGTCTTGAAAAAAGTAAGGGACGGTTGTTTAACAGAATGAAATATTCGGTAATTATTTATGATCTATCTACAAATTTTTTACCTTGACTTCATTATTTCATTATTTGATCTACTAAAATTTATTTACTCTATTATTATAATTTTATAACTTAGGAAAGAAATAGTATGGTCGAAAGTCCAGTGGTTCCGAAACAGTCTTTAGAGTGAGTATTTGAAATTTTAATTTTTAGGGAATTATCATATTTTTGACCCATTGATCGTTATTTAGTATCACGAGACCTGAAAGTCCTTTTCAAAATAATAATAATAATAATAATAATAATAATAATAATAATAAATGGGAAACTCTTGAGGATCTAAACAGTATGGATTTAGAAGTTTTAAAATCCATGGGTGAACCTGATTACGAAGGATGGCTTAGAAAACAAGGTGATAAATATAAAACTTGGAAATCCCGTTATTTCATATTGAAAGGCGTAGATCTCTATTATCTTAAGAACAATAAGGTATTACTTTCATTCATTGTCGTTATCTGTTATAGTGTTCTGCTACTCCTACATCATTCCTACATCAGTTCTATATCCCTACTTTTTATGATGCTTATATATACTATATACTGTATTTTTTTGTAGCATATCCAACGTCCTAAATTAAAAGGCCACATTGACTTAACGGGATATCGTATCCTTACTGATGAAAATATATTACCTGGAAAATATGGATTCAAGATAGTTCATGATGTGCTTCGAACTCATTTTTTTGCACATGAAGACATTGACGTAATGAGAGGATGGATAAAAGCAATGATGAAAGCTACGATATCTCGGGATCATAATGGTACGCATGAATTTAAAAAAAATTATTTTGAATCATAATATTTTTTTTTTTAATGCTAATATTAATTAATTATTTTATACCTATTAAAGCTCCAGTAATCAGTTCAAGTAATATTAACACGGTTCCATTAGCCGATGCTCGTAAAATGTCACCACGACCACCGCAACCTCGACGTCCATCATTCTCTGCTACTGCAGTAATATCGAAAATAGATTCACCAGTACTTCGCGTCCCTTCACCAACGTATATTAAAGAAAAACCGAATAACTACATAACGACGATGGGGTCATCATCATCAGCTTACGTTCAGAATACACCTATGTATCCAAAATAGTTAATAATAATAGGAAAAAGTAAAAAAAAGGGAATAATGATTTTAAATATCGTAATAATTTTAAAAAAGTTTTTTTTTTTTTGGTCGATTAGTGGTTAATATTGGTAATATTGGTAATATTGTTAATATTGTTAATAGTGTTAATAATAATTATTACGAAATTCTAAAAAAATTTCTTTACAGTATACAAATTATACTATCAAAAAAAAAACAAAAAAAAAACATTTTTATTCTTTTTTAAAAAAAAAATTTCATTTTAATCAAAAGTAGGAGATATAAAAGTACATTTCTATTTATCTATTAGTAACTTATTTTGTAATAGCAATAGAGTTTTTTTCTCACGTTCGAAACGTTTGCTTATTACAAGATTTAATGTTTATATTATAATAAAAAAAATAAAATAAGAAGTTATCAAATAAAAAGTAGGTTACCTTAAAAAAAAAAAATACGCGAGTGAATGGGGGTGAGAGAAAATTTTTGATAGAAAATTTACCCCTCGCATAGGATATTATACCTGATTGTACGGTACCACATTCTTAAGTTCCTTTCCGAAAAATAAAAATGCACCCCTCGCGGTCTCTCCTCGCATCATTTATTTTCATACCTTAAGCACTAATGTTTTGAAACTTTATGCATATATAAATACGTAAGTACTGTACGTACTATACGTTACAAGTGCTAGGCACTGTACGTACGATTAAATCTTGCCGGGCACGAGCATAGGACGATATTTGATTTACCAACACTTGCAGAATCCTAAAGGATTGCCACGTGTGATGTGTCCCTGCAAGTAATGATCCAAAATTGGTAATTAATGGTTACAAATTTAATTGGTGTAGCGTTAATAGAATAGTGCTAGGATAATAACGAATAACGATAATATTCACTTTTTTTTTTTTTTTGATGAATTATACGTAATATATATAACAATAATTAAATAGTTCTATTCAAAAAGTATTATTAAAACAAAGAAAAAACATTTTTTTATAAATATATACGTATACTATACAGTATAGTACAGTATTTATGTTAATATTATTTGAAATGGTTTTATAACCAAATATATACGGTTTTTATTTTTTATACAGCAAAGTTATACAATAAGCAATCTCCAAGTAGTTAGGTATGGCAACTAGTGTAGAACCTTGGTGCGGGACTACTTAAATTAGACAAATTAAAGTTTTATTGTGGTTAGTTCTGTAGGAAGCCCCTGAAGGCATCTGTGATCCACATTACTAATAAAGAATTCTGGTCCTAGAGAGGGTACCTTAGCTTCGGCCGAGTGTTATACAATAAGAAAATTAATATATTATTTTCTTGTACTATTTATTTTTCGCAACGGCAAGAATAAGAGGAAAATTCCGGTTATATGGGGACCCGAAGAGCCCTCATACAGTATAACCTGAGATCTTTCCCCATAGTGGGAAATAAGGGTGTTATTCTTTGTTTGTAAAAATGTTTAACAACTTAGTAATCACTTTAATCAGAGAAAAAGAACAAGTTTTCGAAAATAGTTTACAGTTTGCTGGGGAAATTACAAGTGTTATTGGAACTTTTTTTTTTCACTAATTTTATGCGATCATGGAATAATAAGAATTTAAATGAGTGAAATCATAAACTACCGTAAATTTCGGACGTGAGTACTCCCATAGTGTGCCCTCTGCCAGTTTTAAGATCTGGGCGATGATTTATACCCGGGTATATATTAATATTTAAATATATTATCTGTTATATATACTATATATATGACATGCCAGTAGATACAGTAAGCCTTATTGTCTCTATACAGTTTACCCTAGAGATGTATGTGAGATGTTGATATCATATCTCACGCGATTAAATCACATAAGCTATATCTCGCACGAAAATAGAATTTTAATAATCGGGTAGTTTGATGGTATGAAGTCATCATCTCACATTTTGCGCGAGATCATATAGGTTTATCACGCGAGAGGCACATCTCTGGTTTTCAGGAGTTTTCTTTAATTCAGCAACTTGGATAAAACTATTGTATTAGAATTACATAACTTTATTTATATATAAAAAAATAAAATGCCATCTTAAAAGCCAAAACAATCGACAATTTTAAAAAGCTTCAGTTTTTTTTTTTAATAAAAAAAAAAAAAAAAAAAAAAAGTAGAAATACATATCAGATACATATATATATATTAACAATTTTAATTTATTGCTTGTTGATAGTTTATCAAAAACTCGATTCAGAGCAATAAATCCTAGAGGAAATTTCTTATGAATCACCATGACTAAACATGAAGCCGGAAATCTTCAGAAGAAAGGCACTTCTGTGTTTTGGTTTTGGATTTGGTTTTTTCGCATCCTTTTTTTAAAAGATTATGAGATAAAGTTAATGAATATAGGATATGCAATTATTTATATAATGTAAAAGGTTATAATATCTAAAAAAACAATTTATTTCAAGTTCTCTAATATATTTCCCAATAACACAAATTTAACTAATAGTTCAGCCTTGTAACTAACATCTTGCATATTGCAAGTGTTGTAAATGATAAACCCAATACATAAAACATATTGACTATGTAATATATAATTATATTCTATGATTTACAATTTAAAAAAAAAAATAATAATAACAAAATAAACAATATTTATCAAACACCCCGTACTAATGTTTAGACAACATGGTTCCTACCCGCTTTTTCCGTCGTTCACGGAAAAGTTCTCGACGCCGATCAATATCCTTTTGAGATATTTCAGATATACAATCACGACGACGGAAGCATATCTAATATTTATTATGACAAAATTTAAAATCTATTTTTAAAATTTCTTTCAAATAACAAAGCAAAAAAAAAAAAAAAAAAAAATTCCTACATCGATCAGTTTGTGGCAATCGATTAACCTCTTGGGCATATTCTAAAGTTAAAAATGATTTATAGATTTAATAAGACACACATCAATAACAACTTAATAATTATAATAATAAAGGAAGGTTAAATTTAAACTTACCTGAACTACCTGAAATATTTCCATGGGATCATCTACTGCCATGATCTTTTCTTCATTTAATCTGAGTATTGCTAATGCAACACGGAAAAGTATTTTGTTGCCTTCACTGTTAATAAAAAATATAGTAATTGCTTAATATCAATCGTCGATTAGCATTGTTAAAAAAAAAAAAAGGGATGAAAGGAAATATTATTATCATACTAGAAGAAACAATCCCAAACTCTGAGTAATGTCTTTTTAAAATATATATGTACGCATATTAGAGAATATATTTGCATTATAATCAAAATAGTAGATAATTGTAATATTGTATTTACCTCAATTGGTAAAATATTGATATAAAGGGTTAAGAACCAATGACTAGTTACTAGAGTAATTGTTGGCATATTACCATCCGATTTCTCTATATCAATATTAGCACCTCCATTCATTTTATTCCAAATATCAGGCATTTTTCTCATAATAAGTGACATGAGAACGGCCTGATCGACATTTGAACCTTCCATTGTGACATCGTACATGTTCTCTGGTAAATAATCGTGAATAATAGTCACTAGCATCCAAAATGCTTTCTCTTCTTCCATAAATAACAAAAGAATCCCAACTATATAGTTAAGGGATTGACAATAACCGATATGGGGGGAATGTAGAGCAAAAGCTGTGAGAACACGACGAAGGGATTGAATAATTGGAACGTTGTCTGTTGAAAGAACAGGTGAATTGCCGTCATCGGATACAATGGTGGATTTAAATTTTATATTTTCAGGAAAAGTACGGTGAAGGTCTACATATATATATTAATAAATATATTGTATATATTCGCATAAGTTGCAACTTTTAAAAAAAAATATCAAACCTCTTTCGATCACTTCAAAATATTCGTTTTCCAATCCAGGATCTTGAGTTTTTAGCACAAGTTGTCGGTAAAGATCCGAATGACTTTTCATATTGGCTTCAGCACCACTATAATGAAACCATGCCTGAAATAATAATTCATAAAATTAATTAACAGTATAACCGATTTTATTATCAAGATACATATTTAAAAAGAAAACCAACCCTTCCTCGAAGTGACGGTGGAATTCCTTTACGAACATATCTCTTCACTGCGCCGAAAAAAAATATATATTATTGTTAAAAACTTGATTTAACTATATATAAGAAATATATATAAATATAGCGGAAGCTTACTTTTAGAACATTTACTGGGTATTAATCCTCCATTTTCATTTAATACTGCATCCCATTTAAGTTTTCTTCGTTGTAAAATATGTGAGTAAGAAGCCTCAAAATCGATATACTCTTTGTTGCTTATCCATTGATAAGATCTTTTGAAACCATATTGGTCTCTAAAAAAATTACAATACATTTCAAGTTTAGAGCGAGAATCTTTTTTTTTTAAATATAAGTTACAATATATATATATTATATCTATCTATATATTACCTATCATTTTCATATGGATCATGCTGCACCTTTAAGGATCCTGGATGAACATTAGAGGAATTTTGTTGTCGTGAAATAGAATGTTTTGGTAGTACATTCTCATCACTACTGGATGAATTTTTTATATGACTGTGATTACGACTTTCACTTCGATCTTCAATACTACTCCCAGAAAGAGAGGGAGTTCTACTTCTACTACTTTCTCTTAAATATTCATTAGGTACAGTCAATCCGTTTGTTCTTTCTCCAATAACACCATTACTGTTTTTAGTTCCTTCTCCAATACCACCATTACTGTTTTTAGTTCCAGTATTATTGTATGAACTATAATGAGTAAAAACATACGGACTGGGAGGAGGAGGAGGAGAATGAATACCGTTAGCAGTATAATGAAATACTGAATTAATCGGATTAGAATAATTAGGAGTATTTTTAAGTGAAGATAATGCAGGAGTAGGACAATCAAACGATGGTTGCCGTTTTAGACTGCTTATGCTAGTATCGCGAAGATGCAAGTTAAGCGAGGGTCGTTTTTTAACAGAATTTATCGTACTATGACTCCATGTCGATTCACGTGGTGAAGCAGCGATATATTCGTCGAATAAAGACGAATAATAAGAGTCTCTAGAGGTAGAAGCTTCAGTAGGCATTCAAGCAAGATATTTGTTGTAAAAAAAAAAAAAAATTTTTTTTTGCCCGAAAGAAAAAAATTCTGAAATATGTAAGGGTAGAGGAATCGATCCTGTATGTGTTTATAAGGGGAGAAGTCGGTTTAGTATGGTATAATGAAAGTATGTCGAGGATAAGGTTGGTGAAAGGTTGATGAAAGCCTGGGTATATTAACCGGTTAACTTAAAGAGTGAGTTAGCAACTTTTTAGTTGCGATGAATTTTTTTTTTTTTTTTGAAATAAAGAAACCCAAGCAGGGATGCGAAATTAGATATTATATTCTGCAAGAATACATGAATTAATAAATGAATGACTTTAGTGAAAAAAAAAAAAATTGGAAAAATAAAATAAAAAGTAAAAAAAAAAAAAAAAAATAATTTAAATAAATAGAGTTTAGTGTGAATAAAATAGTGTTTGTTTTATAAACTTAGCGTTTAGTATATAATATAAACAAGATTCTATTTAAGACTAACAATAGTACACATAAAATCTGCACGGATATGTGCTCTGATTCGTCTTTTTATTATTATGAATACTATATTTATAAAAACCGCATGCATCTCAACTCGTATTACGTTCTACCTGCCTGGTACATATATAGAATCTTCTATATAGATTTTTGCCAATATATATAATGTATAACAGATAGTAAACTCGTTGTAGGCTGAAAAAAACAATAAAAAAAATCCGGTTTCATTGGCATTACAACATTATAATTTAATTGAATAAACATTAATAGTACTAAAATAGAGTGCATGAATAAATTTTATACCAATAATTATTTACCAATCCAAAATTTTTTCAAACAAACAAACAAAGACCGTAGATTACTTTATGTGCATAACCGTTTTATTGATGCTGTCATCGCGGTCCACAACGATCGAATTGATTAAGAGTAAACCTCCTTTATCATGAAATAATATTACAGAAATGCAAATGAATGCTTGATAATTTTTTTTTTAAATGTATAAATGCATATTTATATGTATTTTTTTTTATAATTATTTCCATTAAACATTAATTATTTACTATAAATCCAAAGTTAGAAGAAACCCTACATATAATTAAATCTTGATACTATCAAAACTAGTACTTTTTAAAAGTTTTTTAAAAGTTGATGATTTGGATTTCGAAAGTGCCATCGTTGTCGGTTGTCCAGACATTTCAGGTAACGGCGAAACAGACCTACATCTCGGAGATGTATGTTGTGGATTCGGTCTATTAAAACTATTGGAATTTGAATAAAGAGTTGGTGACAATGATCGTTCTAATGTTGGTGAATCAGAACCATTTGATGATTGCAAACTCTTTTTTTGCTGATACAAGTTTTCGAGCCTCGGCTAATGACATGGTACTTAAATCACATGATGAAAACACTGGTGCTATTAAAAACAAACAAAACAGTTAGATTGACATGTTTAATGATGACAATAAAGTTAGTAATATAAGAATTATTACATTTTGGATCCCTTGATATCGTGGCTTTCATAATAGCTTTCATCCACTCTCTCATTTTTACCAAGTTTTCGTGTGCAAAGTAGTGAGGGCGTTCGATATCATGAACTAATTTGAATCCATATTTTCCCTGTAATATGTTCTCATCAGGAATGATGCGATAACCTGTGATATTGATACTACCCTTGGCTCGGGGTGTTTGTGTAATCTAAATTCAAAATGTATAACAATATTTTTGCAATGTTAATATATAATAATAATAAGTATATTAACAGTTAAGTACAATAATACACTAACGTTAAGTATATTAAACATAATAAATATAAAGATTTAATCAAGAATGTAATATTACCTTATCATTCTGAAAATAATACAAAGTTTGCCCTTTTAAAACACAAAACCTATTTTTCCATGATTTACTTTTATCATCTTGTTTCATAAGCCATCCTTCATAATCCGGTGTCCCAATATTATTTTTTAATGCTTCTTCGTCCTCACCGATACTTTCATCAACGGCATGTAATCGACTTGGCTGAATATGTTTATCTCCATTTCTAAAATCGTGTGGAGAAATAGTCAAGGATCATGTCAATAAATAAATGAGAATAAACAATCTTTTTTTTTTAAAAAAAAAAAAAAAACAAAAACTTGCTTTATAGAATATTTCGGCAACCCTAATTGACTTCCGACCAAACTATTTCGATCCTTTAAAAAAAATAATAATAAAAAAAGTTACGACATAAGAAAAAAAAAGGGTTTACTTATAACTGACATAAAAAATACCAAATGTTCTATCGATATTTTTTTAGAAAGAGATTTAGATTTATTTTTATGTTTTTTTTCATAGTCATCCTCCTAAACAAATAAAGTATATATACGTGTAAAAAAAGATATTTTGACAGTAAGTGAGAAAGAAAGATATTTTGACAGTGAGAAAAGAAAGATATTTTGACAGTGAGAAAAGAAAGATATTTTGACAGTAAGTAAGAAAGAACCATACCACCAAAAACTCCCATCCTTCTGATGATATTGATTGTGACTTTCCTTTTTTTGCAGGTTTATTATTAAATGAAAAGATGTTTTGATTTGTTTCATTTTTTTCTGATTTATTATTATTATTATTTTTATCCCCTTTATTCGTGAAGGTTAACTTTGAAAATATTCTACTACTTTTTTTTTTATGGTTTTTTCCTGTAAATGTCTATATAAATAATTAACGTTAATAATATTATATTATTATTATGAATTCATTTATTAATTTTTCTTGGACCGACCTGGATTTTTTCGTTAGTATTATTTATCCGTCGTGGCCAACTGGTATGTTCATTACTTTTTACAAATGAACTCTCGGGTCTTGCATCAACTTTATTTGATATATTAACTGAATTTGACTGTCTAATCGATGTTGATTCCATAATTGGACGTAGCTATTACCATTATTAGAATTATTAGAAAAATATCAAGTTAAACATTTAATGCTGTAATGTCGATAGCAAAAATATAGCAGATATACAAGTCAGGCTTTATACGTTTCGTAACAGAAACTTTTACTAACACCTTACATAATGTATTGTACAATCAATAAAGCTATTCTAGAAATTAACCTTACCTGTAATGAATCCGAATCTTTATTCAGGATTGATGATTCTTTAAGGGCATTAATAGCATTCATTATGTGAACCCTTTTACCATAAGACATAATGTTTAATTCTTTGAGAGAATCCAAGTCCAAACCAAGAAGGATATCACCTGTGATATCGTTTTCTGAAGAATTCACATACAAAAAATATATTATAGTTTAGGTTATCAAACATTCATTGCAGTCATTGTTATATTTTACTATATATTAAGTGTATATACTAATTACCGATGAAATGTTCTATTACAGAATCAAAACCTTTTTCTTTCAACCATTGACATACTTGTTCCACGTTCCAAGCCAGAGGATTACCTTGAAGGTTATTCGTTTTCGAAGGATAATCTAAAGTTTTCATATTACCATTATTATGCCTAGAAGGCGAAGATAAATATTCACTATGATTAGATCCTGAAGAAGATACACTGGAACGTCCATTTTTTAATGATCCTTTTGATTGTCTTTGTGACGGTTTTTGTAGTTGAGTAATTGAAGACGTTCGTATCGCTAAGTTTGGAACAGAATTAGTTTTACAAACGGAAGCATCTGATTTTGGTTCAGAGTTGATCTTTTCATTTGATTGATGCTTCTTTGCCACAAGCTGATGTAATTTATTTTGTATGTCGGCAATCGTTTCATTTGCGGATGGTTTTGGCATCTTGGCCTCAGGAATAGTAGTTAATTCACTGCCGTTATTTTTCATTAATTCAGCTGAATTTGTTTTATTCATATTATTATTATTATCATCATTATCATAAGATGAATTTGTTGCTGCTGGATTTTCATAACTAGTATAATTCATTGGAAAAAGACCGACTTGTCCAAGGATATCTTGCCCCTATATAGTTCCGTAATTCAGTTATAATAAGCGCGTATGTCGTGAAATTGATGAAATCGAAATAATTTCAAATAATTCAAATAGTTCAAATAATTCGCAAATTTTTTATTTGTAACGATCAAATCGACATTTAAACTTTATTAGTTTTTTTTGACCCTATGAAAATTTTCAATCATTTATTTTTAATCTAAAATAACTACGAAGAATTCATTAAGTTACCTGCCACCATCCATCCCAGTACATTTCGTCCTTTTCCAATACTAAAATTGGATCACCAACCTTAAACGTAAGTTCATCATCATTTTGAGCGCAATAATTATGAATCGCATAGACAGTTTCCATCGACAAAAATACTAAAAATGGGATTTATGAATGAATGATAAAAGAAAGAGAATAAAGGTTATGCAATTAATAACATTTTCTAAAATAGTTTCTTCGAGACTTAGCTAAAATATATGTATGTACGCTAATTGAAATAAGTACTGTATCATTATCAACATATAAGTAAAAGCAACAAACCTGCGAGACTCAAACAAAACTGCAAAAGCAGATTTTCTAAAATTATATATATATTTCCCTTATTAAGAGCTTTCGCGGAAAGCAAGGTATATATAGATAGGAAATAAAGGATGCGTTCATATACATATATACTGTATATGTACAAATTGGCAAGATAATAAAATGAGTGCAAGATCAAAAGTGCATGCGGTCAGTATATGCGGTCGGATTCCAATTTAATAATAATAATAATAATAAATGGATTCTTAAAGAGGATAAAAAAAAAAATCTAGCTCATTATGCTTTTATGATCTTGTACAGTAAATGCTTACAAAAAAAAAATTCAACAGTAGCACATGCGATACACACAATAAACGCATTAAGCAACTTTAAAGCATAACTATCTACCAATAAAAATTCTTGAATATTTGGTTGGTAGCGTAGTAATGAAACGTACATATATATACGTATGTAAATATCGATACTTTTATTTGACAATATTTACAATATCCTTTTATATTACACAGCATATTGTTCGGTATTACCAGTATTAGATACTTTACTAGTCCACTTTAAGTAATTTTTGTTTTCAGGCTGCTCACATGGTTTATAAATGCACAATTTGTGTATCAAGTTGAACCTGCAGAATGCACGCCTATTCACAAAAATAGGAACAAATTATCGTTATTGACTTTTTTTAAAGACAACCTTGAGTAGTACCAATAAGAAAAATTGTTATTTGCATGTTGTTTTAAAGACGTGATATTCGATATTCGATCATATAAAATTATATTTAATTATATTTAATGACAATGAATTACGTTTTCTCAAAATGGTTTCGTACTTTACTTTAAAGCTCTGCGACCAAACATTTCCACATTAGTACATCCTTAAGCATACTAGTATTTTCTACCGATTGGTTGTTTTGGCAGATTACAAACCTTAATGTTTCTTCTTTTAATAGTAAAAAAAAAACACCAACTGTAATTAGACTTTTATCATATTTTATTGTATCATTTGGTTGGTTTATCTAACTAGTCTCTTATACATAAATACGGTTTGCATTAACCGATTGCTGGATCGATCGTGACGTGTGTTGTTTTTTAATATTGTAGAACTTCGATCATTTGACTTGTGTTTCAAACAAATCTTAAATTTAATAATTTGTTAAATTAATTAATTTAAATTTTATCCGGTCCTAAGAAAAATAATACAAATTTAAAATTAGTTAGTCCTAAAAAGATAACAATAAAATTATTTTTTTACTTTAAAAAAAAAAAGTACATATTGTCATGAGTGAAAAACATGATCCAATACTCTCAATACTCTGTCTAGAAACATTGATTAGATGATTAGATGATTAGAAGAAAACAGCAAAATGATTATTAATTAAAGTATTCGAATATAATTTTTGATTAAAAAAATTTCATTCTGCTTCAAGAAAATTGATTAGTCTCTTTTATTATGCGAGCTAAATAACTTACATAAAGAAGTTAAAGAAGTGAAATTTTGGAATCACAGTATATTCAAATTGGATGTTGTAAAAAAATTCAGACTTACCGCCAAATGTTGAAAACCGAATTAAACGCGAAATGACACTCGTGTTGTTTCAAGTACACACATGGTATTATTTCGAAATAAGCCAATTTCTCGGTCAAGATTTTTAAACTAACACACATTTATACTTGCGTAGCATGTAGTAGCGAATTGCTATTGTTATCGTTATGAAGGAACAGAGTGAAACTTGAGTTGCGAGTTAATAAAATCTTCTATGTAGATCATCGTAAGTAGTTTCGTCAGGCGAAACCATTTCGTCATCACAAAAATAGTTTCGTCACCCATCTTTAGTTTCTGCTATATGAATCTAATAATTTATAACGATAATGATTTCAAATCCGGTAATCTCAATACTGATACAAAACCTGTCCATCATGCATACCGATTTTGTAGTATATACCTTTGCTGGCTATAGAAAAGAATCCGGTGTACATGTTATTTGAAAAATCTGCCGATGATTATCAAATACGAATTTAGAAAAATCCTACCATTAATTTAATCGAATGATGACTTACACGAAAATCCAAAAATAGACTGATAAGACTCGTAATACAAATATCA